TCAAGATAACCTTGGCACCACTTTTGATAAGCTCCTCGAAGCAGATAGCAGCACCGGGTCCACCAACACCGTGAGAAGCAACGCTGAATTCAGCACCTTGATACGTCACATTGAATGTGCGATACTCACGATTGTAAGCAAGCTCCTTATAGGAATCACAGTACTTGGTGGCAATGAGTTCAGCACGGGCAGGATCACCGACAGCGCAGACAACAGACTTGATGCCACCTTCCTTGATCTTCAGATGAGGAGCTTCGTAAACCATATTTGTTACTTGAAATAGATAAATACAATATGTATTTGGTTGATGATGTGGATGTTCGGTAGGACGAGTTAGCTACCCTCAGCGTAACACAAAGCCCTACGACACGGGAGACAACCAGTACAGAGACACCAGCGAACACACATCACTGTATATCTCTGCCATATGCATACTATGCACTGCATAGTTCCCTCAACATAGTCCGCTTTGAAAGGGTCACAAGGATCTTAATACTTCGTGGGGACCACAACATTTCAACTTTCCATAGGGACAGCTCCAAGCGGCTCTTTTGTGTCGGTGTCCCCCTACTGAACTCGCAACAGTATAGTGAGAAATAGTCTTCACAGTACGACTGTGTGGAAGGTCATAGCGACAACAGCAATGCTCATATCATTCACACTGACGCTGAGGGCAGCAGCAGTAGCAGCTGATGTGCTAGCCGCCACTGACAAGGTCGCGTGGGAATGGGTGGGCCTCATTCATAACGTAGGAAAGCTCGTGGGGGGCCGAGGGTTTCTCTGGTCCGAAGTTGAAGTACCTACGTATGAAAGGGAGTGAATTGACCCAGTGAAGGGAGTAGATGACATTGTGGCATTCCACCCAGGTTCGAATCCCATGACTGGCACTTTTCCAACTTACATATAAATAATTACTCCCACCGCACAAACTAATCCAAGGCAAGCTCGGAAGTATTGCCACATCGTTTGCTCGGACTCAAATTCCTCATCTCGGTCTTCGGGTATGATCACATCAAATATGCGTATCCTATTTTCACTGTGAATAGCAATCTGACAGTGCAATGACTAGTGCATCGAATACTTCTCCTCACTTCCCCATGGACGGCCTCCCTCCACCACACACTAGCCCCATGAGCCGGTAGGCCGGTCGTGACACGGTACATCTCCCTCAACAGGGGACGGCCTTCCATAGTGGAGGTATCATCCGAACCGCCTTGCCGGATTGCTTGCAGTGAGCGGCTCCATGCCAGCTTTATATCGTACACAGATATGACTCGACCACAGATGAGCACCACAACGTGGGGCTGTAGAGGCAGCAACAATACCTCACCACGCTTGCACGTTGGGAAAGAAAAAAGACCTGACAATTGCCTTTTCAAGTGAGAAACAGCCAAACCAAATTAAACTTATCTCCGAGTGTATAAGCTGTTGGCATACCACTTTTCTGGTTCTTCTTGAGGCCGAGCGCCACCACGCTACCGTCATCAAGACTCGCAAAGATCGTCATCATCGACCCCAAGCGGTCCCCGGTTCTCATTTTCACTATGCGCCGACCGAACTAATCAAACGTGAGAATATCTGCATGGGGAATCATAGCGTCTCACGAGCCAGCCTTCAACACCGTCTACGACCGCGTTAGTGATGATATCGTCACTAATGACGATGACCCTCACCCAGGAATCGCCTGAAGTACTGATCACTTTCCAACAATATGGGAGGAAGGAAATATGCACATGGTTAACCACATGTTTTGGTGACAATATAGGAATTCTGAAAGAAAATCCTAGTTGTTTTCGAACACTTCTACCCATGTAAACTCCATAATTAGTAAGGAAACTCCTGAGCTCAGCTGAGGATAGCAATTACATAT